AATGGGCCCAGACAGAAACCTCAAGTTTTTCCTAGCCCGTTTTACCAGCCCAACATAGCGCCGCTGGATTGGGCCGCCATCGCCCGCTCTTGCGACAAGGGCCCGATCTCCCAGCACCAAAAGCCTGGGCCTGGTGGACAAGAGCATCTACACGAAGACGCGAAGGTCAGGCTCTACGCCCCGAAGGACAGTGGCATGGAGGCCGGGCCCGGGCAAGAGCCATGAAGGTCAAGCTCCATGGGCCGGCGATGAACGAGCACAACGCCGGGCACTGCAGCCAACGCTCAACGGATTGAGGGACAGAGACTTGACTGGGCTGGGCTCGGAGGCTGAGTGGAATGGAATGGACTGGATTGGCAGGGAGGTCTTGGTCCTTCTGTGCCACACAGGCGCCAAACTAATTCTGTGCAAGGGTGAGGTCCCAGATATCACAAACTGCTTGGCCTGAACTGTCCGAGTATCTATCTGAGCCGTTATCGGTCCGATCTGTCCGATCGATCCTCCAAAAGCTTGACAAGTCCGAAGAGTCCAACGCGTCCGATGAGGTCCATCCTACCCGGCTGACGCGTCCGATTCTCACCGGTGTGTGCAAAATGAGCGGCAAACGCTCATTTCTGCCTGAAGCACGGCAACAGGAGATCAAATGAACTGGGAAAGCAAATGAGTCAAAATGAAAACCCGGCATTAAAATGGTCGACCATTTATGGTTGGGATTGTCCCTAACTAACCTTCACTTGCCCGGGTTTTGATTGTGACTCAAATGAGCGGGCCTCTCCGAGCCTTTAGGGCAACTGAGCCGGGGCGCTGATTGATGTGATTGGTTTGATTTATTTGATTGACTTGATTGCTTTGACTGAACTGCTTAATTTGATTGATTTTGTTGATTGGTTTGACTGACTTAGTTGGTGTGATTTAACTGATTGATATGATTTGATTGATTGACTGATTGGTTGACTGGTGGCTTGGTTGATTGGTTGATCAATTGGCTGATTGATTTAAAGGTCGGCTGACTGACTGGCTGGCTGGCTGTCTGACTGACTGACTGACTGACTGACTGACTGACTGACTGACTCATTTTTGTGCTGTGTGTTGCGTGTGCGTGTGCGTGCGAGTGCGTTGCTTCTAGGCCATATATGTTGGCTTGGCTTGTTGATTGATGTGTTTTGGCTTTGCTTTCTGTATTGTGCCTTTGCTATGTGTCCCATTGTGCTTGCTGTTTTGCAGTCGGTGTTGCAGCGCTTTTTTTGTGTTTGGTGTGTGTGTGTGTGTGTGTTTGGCGGGGTTTGGCGGAAGGACACAAAAAGAGAAAAGAAAAGTAGAAAGCTGTCGCGAAAGACTAAATGAGAGCGGAAGGAGAAGATAAAAGACAAGAAGTGAAGAAAGGAGAAGAGAAGAGACGAGAAGAGAAGAAAAGAGAGGCAAAGGGAAGAGGTGACAAATAGATTGCGTAACAGGTGCAGCATTTCGGCTTCCTGAGGTGAGTCACAATCAAGACCTAGTAATTATTACAATGGTCTACCCAAACCGATGTGTCTAGCTCTGGCTGGAACTGTGCCTTGCCAAGCTGACTTACCCGGGCTTTGATTTTGCCTCAGGTACAGATTGCGTGGCAGACGAGGATTGGCGATCTGATTTCGTGACAGGCGCAACACTTTCGCAAGGTCAGGTACAGATCTCCTGACAGGCGCAGCGCTTTCGCAGAGTCATACGCTGATTGCGTGACAGGCGCAGCACTCTTGCAATGTTGGAATGTGTTGTTCGCAAATCTGGATGGCACGGCGACACAAACTGTCACATGTTGATATCGTGGCAGGCGCAGCACGTTCGCCCGGTCAAGTGCGGGTTTGATGGCAGGTGCAGGGTTTTGAGAAGAAAGACAAATAGATGGGCGGATAGATAGATAGAAAGCTGCCGAATAGACAAATAGACAAATAGATAGATAGGTAGATAGATAGATAGATAGATGACCAGATAGCTAGATAAAAGTTAGCTAGTTAGACTAATTGATTAGAACAATTAGGTCAGGGTACTTGATATCAGGTACATGGATTAGAATGATATGGATAGATAGATAGATAGATCGATTAGATAGACGGATAGAATAGACAGATAGATACCTAGATAGCCAGATGAAAGATAGCTTTCAATAGATTAAATTAGGTTGATATATAGATAGATAGAAAGTCAGCTTGGATAGCTAGCTAGATTGATGGGTACAAAAAGCAGATAGCAAAATAAAGAACACATTAGCAACACGAAATAGCTAGAGAGAGGATAGACAAATAAATACATGTAGATAGATAGATATGTAGATGGATAGATGGATCCATGGATAGATAAATAGATAGATAGGTGGGTCGGAATAAAAATGGAAAATACGTTGCATAAATAGAAAAGTAGGTAGGTAGACAGATAGATAAGTAGACACATAGATAAGTCGATGAATGGATGGATGGGTTGATACATGGATGGACAGATTGCTGCTAGGTGGCTACATGGTGAAACGGGTAGATGCACAGGCGAGTAGATTGCTAGACAGACATACAGTATCAATAGCATAAGTAGATAGACAATAGACAGATAGAAAAGATAGAGAGATAGACAGATGGATTTCTAAATAGATAGATAGATAGATAAATAGATAGATAGCTAGATACATACATAGATAGACGGGTAGATAGGCTGATAGGTAATGAGACAAATAGATAGACAAAGAGATACATTGATAGATGGATACATAGAGAGCTACAGAGATAGATAGGTAGGTAGGTAGGTAGATAGATAGATAAATAGATAGATAGAGAGATAGAGAGATAGATAGATAGATAGATAGATAGATAGATAGATAGATAGATAGATAGATAAATAGATAGATAGATAGATAGATAGATAGATAGATAGATAGATAGATAGATAGATAAATGGAGAGATAGAAAAAGCGAAAAAGAAGGATACAGATAAATAGAAAGAAGAGAAACAGAAGGAGAAAAAGAAAATGAAACAGAAGGAAAAGTGAAGGAGAAAAAGTTGCAAAAGAGAAGAGAAAAGGAAGGAAAGAGCAGAGAGAGTGAAGGAGCAAGAGAGAAAGATAAAAAGAAAGCGAGCAAAAGAGAGAAAAAGCAAGAGCCCTGTCTTATATGCTCATGCGTTGCCAGCCCATGAGGTTCATACAGTTCATATCAGTTCACAAAGGACTTTGCAAAACTGCTAGCGTGAAAGTGTGTGGCTCACATGGGTCGCAAGGCCGGGTTGAGTTGTCCATGTGACTGACGGCTTCTGACTGCATCTGTCGACTTCTGTTTAACACCGCTCTGTTGCTGTTGAGACTTCATCTACAAGAACTTGGGGCTGCCCTGCATGCAACAGCTGGCATTTGCAGGTCCGGGAAAGCCTAGCACAGGCTCTTGCTCCAGTGCATCAGACCCTATTGGCCTTCGTGGACATCTTGAAGCTGATGCCCTGCTTGGTCCTCAGTTGCCGGCTGGGTAATTTTATGAGGTGCCGTCAACTCAGAATACTTGTGCGCATTTATGCCTTGATCCTGTTGGAAAAAAGTCTGTCATCAACTCCCTTTGCAGCTGAAGTGCAAGATCTTCTGCATCTCCTTCGAGAGCTCCGAGTCAATGCCGATGCCACCAATGGTTGGCAAGAACTCAACCACCTCGGGCCCACAAAAGCAGAACCGGCCGCAAAATCCGCAGAAAGCCTGTGAACGCAGGGCCGATTTTTCCTGCGAATGGTGCTCCGCTTCAGTTGAGGCGCTGTGACCTTGGAGCCCAAGCGCTCGTAGACGGAGCCTAGCTCGAGGCCGATGACCTCCAGTCCCGGGAAATGAGATGCAAATTGGGACCCGGAGGCGTCCTTTCCTGAGAACCTCATCGTGGAGGGATGCGGGACGTAAGCCTGGGGCACCCTGCGCCACCACCGATGACGATCAGCTTCTCGGGCACCTTCTTCCTACAGAAAGGAAAGCTGAGGCGAGCTGCGTGGTCACAGTTTGTTTGGGCGGCCAGTTGCTCAACTTTCTGCAAAAGTCATGTGCTGCCCGCACAGTGCGCCTGTCACTCTCTCATTCTCACTCCGAGCGGCAAATCCAGAGCGCCAGTGGAGGAGACGATCCTAAGACTTGAAACGCTTCTGAAAAATCAACCAACTATCAACCATGAGCGAAAGCCTTGCTCTGCCTCAGCAGACTGGAAAAACTTGTCAGCAGGCCAGACATGCAACCTTGACCGCTTCGAGAAGAAATCAGCACCTTGCCGGCCAGTGTCTGTTCCTCGTCCACCTCTACGAACGGCAACTTTTCAATGACCTCCGAGCCAGTTGCTAGCCTGACGACGAGAGGCAATGAGCGAGCACTCGGCCCAATACCGAGGAGAACCTTGCTCAAGTAAAGACAAGATCTGGCAAAGGATCTGGCACAGCTCTTGAGGCGGGTCGCATGATGTTCTTGGCGGTAATCGTTTCCTCGCCGCCGTCATTGAGGGCCACAGTCACCTGAGACAAGAGGGTAGATCCATACTTCCTTCTAAGGGTCTGTTAAGGTCTCACAGCATGATGCAAAGTGTTTACACTTGTGCCACAGACAAGCGGAATCCAAAGGAATGTCGTCCATTCGCGCCCTTTTGCCGGTATGCCATAAAACGTGTTTAAGTGAATGCAAGTGCCAGGTTCAATTGTGAAGCCAATCCCATCCCAGAGCAAATTCGCATAGCTGTTGGATATAAAGTGTGAGCCTACACCGCGCAAGCTCTTGTTTCCTTGGGCCGACAATTCCCCGAGAATGTCCAATTGCAAGAAGAAAACTCGCGTTTTGCGCGTCTCATCGCCTCCTCGTGCTACAACACAATGGCAGCTCAATGTTCTCATCACAGCGGCACCAAAGATGCCAAGTCGCGGAGTTCGGGCCAGTGAGCTTGCCCCAGCCTTTCAGGTACTTGACCTGGGCCAGCATCGAAAGCGTCACAATTTGAGAGCTCACTCTTTACCTGCCATACTCCATTGTGAACATGACCTAAATGGTTTGCTGCCCAATGGATATACTGATATACCCCTCCCGCGCCTTGTCTCTCTTGAAGAGCCCCTCAATACCTGTGTGCGCTGCTCGATTCTTAGTGTGTCGGGAAAATGCAAAGAGTTGCAACCACTGGCCTCCAGTCAGCTTCTTCACTGCCGTATTCTTGTTTGCCATCATCTTGTCGAAGTCACACTTCAGATTCTCCTGAGAGCAGCATCAACTTGCGAGACCATCAGGAAAGCCCAAAAACACTTTCGTCCACCCGAAAGCAACAACTTGCCTCTGTCGTTGAATAATCAAACAAGATTCGGATGCTCTTCGGCTCGGAAAAGTGGAAAATTGAAACGCGTGCTTCTGCTTCTGTTCTGCTTCTGCCACCCTGTCATCTTGCTGAATCTTGCTGCCAGGCTTCGGTACCTGTGATGCCACGCCTCAGGTTTCCCATGGAGCGAGAGCACGGAGCGCGGATGGGCCCCTGGCGACTCGAAGGTCGCCTTGGCCTCGTGGTACAGGGCCGAGGCCTGCAGCAACGCCTGAGCTGAGGCGCCAAGCTCAAGAAGCTCAAGAAGCTCAACAGATCCGCGTTCAACTCGTCAGGTTTAGCAGAAACCCCATGGGCAGCACTTGGCCTTCGAAGGGATGCAACCGACCTTCGCAAGGCACTTTGCTTTATGCTGATTGCTCTTGCAAGTTCATGTACAAAAACGCGACTGAACTTGAGCAGTTGCAACGTTGGTAAGGAAACCATGCCAGGCGCACGTTCAAGCAGGTGCCGCCCGCAGGACCGCGCCTTGGGCTCAGGCTGCATTCGGTTCGGAAGTGAACCGCAGGCTGCGCAGACATGAACGGCCCGTAGAATGGAAGCCACGCTGGGCCACGCACCAGTTCATAATACACAAATTACGGATGAATTAGTCGTTCAAGCTGTTCAAGCAACTCTTCAAATCAACTCTGATTGCAGTGAGGGCACTTGTCGATGCACACGGTCTTCAGTCCTAGCTGCGCCGCCTTGATTGCGCCTGCAGGTGGCTGCACTCCCAAGAATTGAGCTCCGCTGCGCTGCTGAAGTCTCTGGAACCCTCTGGAGAAAATATGGATTCACAGGCCTGTGTACCCGCCCGGGCCCGCGCCGATCACACCTGACACCATACAAGCTGGTTTCCGCATGCTTGCTGCAACTTGCGGTATATCATTGGGGGGGAACGGATATGGCTGGCATGTCTTGTCAGGCTGGCTTGAAATGCCATGCATCCCAAAGAACCCATATCCCACCATAGAAAGCATGGCTCTGCGGATACTGCTGAATCCCTCTCAGCTCTGTGCACAAATCATATTCCTCAGCAACGCTGTCAACAGCTTGGACAAGTGCAAACAGCACGCTTGAAGGATGACGTGTTCAAGAAGGGCAAGCGCCGTCAATCAAGAAGAAACAAAAGAAAGCCATGTCAAAACAAAACGGAAACAGGGCATGTTGCCTTGGACGACTCGGAAGTAACTGAATGCATGATGTGCATGCCTCTTTGCAATTCAAGGATCGGAGCCGGCGGAAAAGAAGCGGACGAAGTTGGCACCTTGGGTTGGCATACTCAACTTCATTCAACCCTTCAGAGTGGAAACTACCAATCTTGCCGGCAAGAAACAGGAACAACAGGCCCGACCCTCCAAATCAGAACGTTTTGCCGCCGAAGCTTGCGCGCGCCATCTGGTCTGGTTTGGTTCCGCGGAAGGTGCGATGCATCATCCTGGCTCGGACTCAGTGTTGCTTCCTTCGTCAGCAATGATCGGGCATTCCAAGCCCGAAATGCGGGTCTAACATCAGAAAATCCATAACTATCATATGGACTGCGGCAAAAGGCACCAGGCACTCTCCGCAAAGCCAGGCATGCGCAGGCAAGCCAACTCCAGGCAGGATTGGCGGACGTTTTGTTCTTCGGAGGCTACCCTCAAGCCCAGCTGACGGCCTCGTATGATCAACAGTGAACAGCTGCAATTCTGCAAGACATTTGTCTAGAGTTCCGAAGCCTTCTGCATATCTAGTGACTGAATTCTTTCAGGTGTCCTGCAGCTACAGTCACTCTTTAAGCATCGCTTCGTCAAGACCAGCAGCCAGACAGGCCAAGCCGAAAATGTTGCAGGCCACTGGGTCCCCGCGTCCCCTGCACCCATTGGAGCCCTAGCAGCTCCAAGGTGATCAGTAGGTCAAGGCAGAAATGTCGCTCAGGCAATTGACCTCCCGTCAAGGTGCTTCTGCAAAACTTCTGAAAAACAACAAAATGGCTCGAGAACTAAAGATTGGCCTCAACAGTCAAAATCGGAAACTTCTCTTGGCCGAAGCTGCCTTCAAACAGCCAGCACGCTTGTCACGGCGCCGCAGCCGTATCTCACTGTCAGGGAGGCATCGTTGTTCAAGGCGGCTGCCAGAAGCGACCTAACTTTCCACGTGCTGCGCCAGAAGGCACAAAGTTCAAAACCAAACCGTCCCAAAGCGCCTTGAGCAACAAGGCCCTTTCTGTACATACACTCTCAATTGAGCCGTTGGCAAGGACTTGTAGTTCTGCCCATTGTCGCCCAGTGCCCCGTGGATGCGGCTCAAGGAGAACCTGAGATTGCATTCAGCCCTCTGCAAGCGATCTGCGACAAAATGGATGCTGCGTGACTCGGCCCTATTTCCACGCCCTCCCAAGCCAGGCCGCATTCTCACCACCGACCCGGTGCCAGACCTGTAGATGGCAAAGTCCAGGATGTCGCCGTTGGGGCCATAGTACTTCGGCGCGTCATGGCGGCCCTGCAGGATGAACTCGAAGTTCTCCGGCTCCGTGATGTTGAACGGGCGCAGGTCATCCCCTGGGTTGGGGTCGCCCCCTGTGACGTAGGAGAAACTGCTCTTATTGCTCAAAGCGGCCTTGATCTTGGAATAAGCCTGGCGAGGCACATACGTCACGGGTATCAGAGCGTCTGGGGCCCTCCTAAGAAACAGACCAGTCCCGCCTGTTCAGACGCCATGCTCAAAGGGAGCTCTGCCAGGCAGCATGCATTGCCGCAAGAGCCCATGTCTTTCATCCCGCAGTCAGGATCCTGGACGCATCGAAATCTCTTGAGGCATAAGTTGTAAGTTGTCACATGCGCCAACTTGAGATGTAGTGAGTTGTCTGGTTGAGAGCTCCCTTCAAGAAGTTCCATGGCTCAAGGCAAAACGATGGCGCCTTGGTGTCTTTGCCACAGGTCGGGGGGAACTCTGCCGCCTGCACTTTAACCTCGGTCGTGGTCCTCACAGCGGATGGGGAGATTCAAGCAAAGACGAGCGAAGAGAAACACGACCCCAAGGTTTCGGAAAACGTCAAAGTGGCATTCAACATCCCAAAGAACTGCTTGAGACTCCCATCCTTTGCATCTGGCCACATCCATGCTTGAAGAGCAATTGTCCAGCTTTGCCCATCTTATCCGTCAGGTACAACAGAGTCTTTGCATTCCTGAGGCTGAGTGTGGCAGCAAACATGTGTCCGATCGAATAAAGTTACACCAAATTGTTGGAGCCCAAAACATAGCGTGTCCTAGCCATGCTGTGCAAGGCAGCAACAAAGATTGCTTTATTGCTTTTGCAGCGCGCACTCGATCCTGTTCATGCGGCACATGCCTTGGCTCTCTTTAAGCAGGGACTTTTAACCAAATCAGAATAGTGCGTCTCTGCACCGTCCGCTGCCAAATGCTGCGGGCGTCATCGCCCCACAAAGCCAAAAATGTGGAAACGCGCAAACCGCAAGCAACCTCTTTTGCATCTTGAACTATTAGCGCAATCTTGCAAGCTATGCATCTTGCTTGCTTATCTGCTGTCCGGGCTATCTGCTCTTTGCACAACTTAAACGCATTGGAAGGCTCTGCCCATTGTCGCCCAGTGCCCCGTGGATGCGGCTCAAGGAGAACCTGAGATTGCATTCAGCACTCTGCAAGCGATCTGCGACAAAATGGATGCTGCGTGACTCGGCCCTATTTCCACGCCCTCCCAAGCCAGGCCGCATTCTCACCACCGACCCGGTGCCCGACCTGTAGATGGCAAAGTCCAGGATGTCGCCGTTGGGGCCATAGTACTTCGGCGCGTCATGGCGGCCCTGCAGGATGAACTCGAAGTTCTCCGGCTCCGTGATGTTGAACGGGCGCAGGTCATCCCCTGGGTTGGGGTCGCCCCCTGTGACGTAGGAGAAACCATCCTGCTGCAGGTTCTGCAGGGCATCCTTCACTGTATTGTATGTCTTCTCCGGAGTGTCGGCAAAGGCCAACTCGCCCACCTCACTCAGATCTCAACTGTTTGCACCAAGCTCGTGTTACATAGTCAGCTACGGTGCACAGCAGGCGTTTCCGCAGGAGCCCATGTCCTTGTGGTTGCAGTCCGGCACCTAAACGTAGAAACAGCCAAGTCAACTGAGTTCACTGAGTCAACTCTTTCGGGCCAAGGCGCACCAGGCTTGCTGCCACATACACTGGGATTGGCACCCAAAGCCCTCCTCAGATCGAATGCCCCATGCTCATGCTGAACTGCAAACTCGTGCCTTAACCGTGCACAACTTGTCACCATAATTGTCCCTTTGTGCCGCATTCTTAGGTCTCAACATGTCTCACGTACTTGACCTAGGCGAGTCATGCTAATGCTGGCCAGGGAGCTGAAGCGCGAGGGCGAAAAGTACGACCTTCATGGCCAGGACGTGCGGGGCGTGTCTTGAGCCTCAACACCTTCAGTCCTATCAGCCCTGGACGTGCGCGTCTGAAGCGTGCCACTCGGATCCCCTGTTGGCAAGTGAAACCGTCAGCCAAAATATTCGGCATCTTTCAGAAAAGTACAAAGCTGTCGCAAGGCTGCAAATGTGCCTGAAATGTAAGCTGCACTCTCATGATGGCAACCTTACACGAGGCCCAGACGTGGCACAAAGCGGCGCACAAACACAGCCATGGCCAGGTGTGTGTTCGAGGTCAGGGAACGAATCTTGAGCCGGACACAACACATGTGACATGCACTTGAAAACAGAACTTGTCTGGATATGTGCCATGTGCTACACTGGATTCTCCTTCTCCACAATGATGCCAGGCAAGTCTTCAGGTTCTGCATCACACCAACTCCCACTTTTTAAACCTCTTCAGCAAAAGCATTATGCAATACAAAGCTTCGATGAACTGAACACTCAAGAAGTTTCGTCAAGAGTTCACGATTGAAGCCAGCAGATTCGGCTGAAAGCCTCTGGACAACGAGACCGATCAATTTTGTCCCTTTGGGGAAACATGCTGGCAACTTTTACTTTGACGTGCCGCCTGATGGAAACAGTCATCAGCACATTAGCGCCGCAAGAAAAAACGCATAATGTTTGTTTCATGCAGATTTTGAAAAATATTTGATCATTCTTACACATGTGTGGTTTGCTAGGAAAACACACCAATGCATTTAACAGCCTTTGATCCCACTCTTGTTAAGTGACCCGTTTGCATGTTCTAGCATTTGCAAAAGACAGTTATGACTCCATCTTGGCATGTGGTGGAAGTTATGAATCTTCAATCCGCCTGCCCAAATTGTATATAGCTTCATGTGCTCTGCAAAAACAATAGGACTTGTGAGAAAAATGCACCCAGAACGAATTATTTCCAGATCAGCAATGCAACTTGCTGCAAAGAATGATGCAAAATTCTGGAATTTGGATTCAAGAGAAAAGAGATGTGCGCGATCTTATTGCACCATGACTGCAGTGAACAAAATCAAAACGTTTGTTTTCCGTTGCTGCCTGAAGCAGTTGCCGGTCAGCAAAAAGTACGAGTTACCGTGTGGTTTTCCCACATGTAAAATACGGTAAGTTCTCACAGACTCAGCAAAAAAGAAACAAGGAAGAGCAGAATACGAAGTGCACAAGCAGTCATATGATCATTTCAAAAAAGATAAATACGAAGAGTTGCGTAAACATGTGCAAGTTAGGGATGTGCTCAGTTTCAAATCTTGGGCGCGTGGCAAGAAGTCCACCACACATACACCGAGGTAAGCAAGGCCACAAGTCCAATTTGAAGAACGTAATACGAATAATCAGAAACTATCAGACATCTCGCAAGAAAACCGTTTATAACAAATGGCGTGGCTTGCAATGTAGGCCTGCTGATGATATGAGAGTGCTACAACCTGGGACCAGCTGAGGTTTTTGTCATGGTCAATGGATCAGTTGGGTCCTGTTCGCAGGCCAGTCAGTTACTGGTGCCGTTAGAATCCTGTTCACTGCTTCAAGCCAAAAGGGGACCAGTAATAAAAAGGGGGAGGAACTCACACCGCAAATTCAAGAGGCGGGTCAGCACTGTTTCTGAGATCATCGCCATCAATGCCTCTGCGTGTCGATTTACCCTGGCATGCACGATACTGCACTCGACCTCCTGCTTCCACCGGGGCAAGCGGTTTGCCCATGCCAGTTCCCTCAACCGGTTCCCGTGTCCCTGACCACCGACACAAGGCGATCACAAATACCCCCAAGGTTAACAACGCGTGCTCACCTGTTACAGGGTGTGTTACAGGGGTGTGGCACTTCAAGCAGCAAAGCGTGCAGCTTGTGTGCGAAAAAATGAGGATTGCGTCCTCAAAGGATGAGACCCACGGCTGGTCCTGCAATGTGCATCCCACGAAGCAACGCGTGCTCCGTGAGAGATGCTGCAAAAAACCAGCCTTACTTCTTGGACTGGAACAATGCTGGAGGAGTGCGTCCTTGCATGCAGTGACACAAAGACTCTTAGCCAATGTGCGGAGGCAAGGCAATTCCTTTTTAGTTAGAATGGTCACGAAGCAACGCGTGCTCTTGTGCCAACTGCTGAAAAACGCGTCCTCTCCCTCGCAGAGTTGAAAAGACATACTGGAGGGCGTCCTTGCAGTGTCCTGGCTGCCACGTAAGAGAAAGCATGCTGGCACGATATGCCTATCAAGACTGCCAGCAGTGAACCACCTGAGTGCTAACAGGGTTTGAAAAAAGCGAAAGAGGGATCGAACCATCCAAACCGGTCCCTCAAAAAAGGCTTGAAGCAAAAGCTGAAGATTTGAACAGGATTAAAACACAGGGGCAGAAAACTTCAAGCGTTAGAATCCTGTTCACTGCTTCAAGCCAAGAGGGAACCAGTAACACAAAGGGGGAAAAGTCGCCTTGCTCCTTTTTTGTTAGGCGTTGCTCACCGGCCCTGTCCGCATGCAATGCAAGCTTAGCAGCAAGGGCTTTTGCAGCTGTCACTTCTGGGTAAGCTAACTCTGTGAGCGCAGTGCTTGATCAAGTCCGCCGGAGTACTCTGCGTAAGAGTGCTTTCAGGTGTTGACCTAAGTTCTGACGCCTGCCATCTTGGAAAGAATCGTTGCATACAATGGCCAAATCACACCTTCCCACTTCTGCAGAAACGCATGCATTGCCCGCCATTGCATGGGCAGACCAGCTGCCTCCCAAGCGGACGCCAGTCCAGCTTTTTAGACCCGATGACATGCTAGCGTCCAACTGCATGGTCTACAACATAGAAACATTTTAAGTGGATTCTGTGGCAGCTAAGGCTCTTATTGACAACCTTTGAGCTTATGCCAATTTGCAAATCTGGAACACGGTCATCAAATTGATGAGTCGCAAATGGTTGATGGCCGTATGGAAATCCCATCCTTTCTTATGCTTTTGCTTTAAGCCGGCTAAGCAACCGGCCAAAAGGCCCCCCGGAACAGACAAGAGGCAGCAATAGCAAATTAAGAAAAAGGCAAGAAGAGCCGAACGGCGCATGCCATCCGAAAATTCACATGTCTGCGCCGTAAAAGAAACACAGCGCCTTCAGCCATTCTCCCGGACAAGGCAGACGTTCTTCCGGTTACGCCGCTTGCCACAACCTTGCACCTTGCCAACCCGACAGCAGTACTAAGTCAGAGGGGCCTACACTACCCTAAAAAAAGTGCGTTTTTGGTCAAAATCAGGGTTCTACGCCAACCTGCTAAACTTGTCATCGTTTGTTATGGTTTGTCATTGTTCGGTGGAAAAAGTGTTGTCATTAATGTCATCGTTTTTTCATCGGAGACTGAGCCAGGAAGCTTTTAGCTTTTTTGGGGTGCCAGAGCGCCTGCCAAGCTTGTTATCAATGTCATCGTTTTGTCATCGCCAAGATTTGAGCCCCAGGGTCCTGCAAATCGCAAAGACGGACTTGTCCTTAATGTTATCATTTTGTTCTTGCCGTGTTTTGAGCCTTCTGCAAATTGCAGAGTCCGGACTTGTTATTGATTTAGCGCCAAATTTAAGCCCAAGAATTCTACAATTGCAGAGTCCGGGCTTGTCATTGATGTCATCGTTCTATCAGCGCCGGAATTTGAGCCGCAGGCCAGAATGCTAAGACGGGGCTTACACTGAGCCAAGGAACTTTAAGCTTCTGTTGGGTGCACCCTGCCAAGCTTGTTATCAATGTTCTTGTTTTGTCATCGCCGGGATTCGGAGCCCTAGAGTTCTGCAAATCGCAGAGACCGGGCTTGTTATCAATGTCATTGTTTTGTCATTGCCAAAATTAAGCCAAAGAATCCTGATTAGAGTCCGGGCTTGTCATCTTTTATTGGAAGCTTTTAGCTTCTTTTGGGTGCCAGGGGCACCCTGCCAAGCTTGTTATTAATGTTATCGTTTTGTCATTGCCGGATCGCAAACACTTGCCACGGTTGCTTTTCCATTTTCTTGCTTTTTCTTGCTTTCCCTTGCTGTCTCTTGCTTTCCTTTGCTTTGCCTTGCTTTGTCCGTGCTTTAGCTTGCTTTGCCTTGCTGTCCCTTGCTTTGCCCGTGCTTTGCTGTCCCTTGCTTTACCTTATTTTCTTGCTTCTCTTGCCTTGCTGTCCCTTGCTTTGCCCGTGCTTTGCTGTGCCTTGCTTTACCTTCTCTCTCTTTAGAGGGGGTTTCCCAAATGGATTCTATTCTACCTGAGAGGCTCCTAGCACTCGTCCGTCCAGGAAACGACCTCGTCCTGCGAAGGATTCAAAGTCTAAAACGCTGCGTGCAGGCGTGTGGCTGCAACATAACGACCCCTAGATATGCTTGCAATTTGCCTCGTAGCTGCGTTTGTGCCAAGCCAGCCAAACCCAGCAAACCAGCCAGAAAGCCAGCCAGAAGCCAAGCCAAACCAGCCAGAAAGCCAGCCAGAAGCCAGCCAGAAGCCAGCCAGAAAGCCAGCCAACCCTCTTTTTTTGATAGCCAGAAGCCAGCCAAGCCGGCCAGAAAGCCAGCCAGAAGCCAAGCCAAACCAGCCAGAAAGCCAGCCAAACCAGCCAGAAAGCCAGCCAGAAAGCCAGCCAGAAGCCAGCCAGAAAGCCATCCAGCCTCTTTTTTTTGATAGCCAGAAGCCAGCCAAAAAGCCAGCCAGCCAAAAAGCCAGCCAGCCAAAAAGCCAGCCAAAAAGCCAGCCAGCCAAAAAGCCAGCCAAGAGCCAGCCAGGGTTCCGAAACGCAGCTACGAGGCAAATGTGACTGCGCATATCTAGGGGTCGTTATGTTGCAGCCACACGCCTGCACGCAGCGTTTTAGACTTCGAATCCTTCGCAGGACGAGGTCGTTTCCTGGACGGACGAGTGCTAGGAGCCTCTCAGGTAGAATAGAATCCATTTGGAAAACCCCCTCTAAAGAGAGAGGTGCTATGTTCTGTGTTCGCGCTTTTGCGCGGCGCAGTCTGCAGTGGAACTCCACGCGGGCAGCAACCAAAAAATGGTTGGTGCCTGTTTCCAGTTCCGAGGCACTTCGCAAACACAAGTGGCACTTGTGTTTTCGAGCATCGCCACCTGCCCGGCATCGGAGCCTCCCGCCCGGCCGCTTCGAAAGCACAAGTGCCACTTGTGCTTTCGAGCATCACATTCCTGCCCGGCATCGGAGCCGCGCCAGCCCGCCGACGTGGCTTCGATACCGAGCGCGCCGCTCGAAAGCATAAGTGGCACTTATGCTTTCGAAGTGGGTTCGTTTCAATGCGTTCCACCACCCGGCCGCGCCACCT